AATTTTTTTTTATTTTTTAATAATTATTTAAACTGGAGGGGTGACATTTTAGTAATTTCCATACTTAAATCAAACAGTGTTAAAGGTCAAATGTCTTAAAACTAACAGCGAGGGCCACATTGAGACAATTTTTCAAGTAAGGGGACAAATCAATGCAATTGAGAGTAGAAGGGGGTAAAGTGATATCGAGCCAAAGTACAAGAGGGCAAATCGATGAATTGAGGGTAGAAGGGGGTAAAGTGATTTCGAACCAATGTACAAGGGGGAAAATCGATACAATTTAGAGTACAAGGGGGTAAAGTGATATCCAGCCAAAGTATAAGGGGGTAAAGTGGAATTTACCCTAATAAATATGAAAAAAGTATATAAATTTACATGAAAGAAATGAGAAGAATTAAAAATTTGGAGGGTCAAAACTTGTATTTACATAAGAAGGGATCCAAAATCTGTATCTTAAAACTATTACTCATAATTACTAAAAATAAAATTTAATTAAATCTTGGGATCCACAACTCCCTTTGCCCTTCTTATGTTCTGTCACTGCCCTCAACTATGAATACGTTCATTCTTATGGTGTCAAATTTAATAGAATGTTCTAGATTTCGTGGAATATTTTCCAATTTGTACTTGTTTTGCTCCATTCAAGCTCCACATTTTAAAACACATTGATCATAATTACAAAACATTTTAAATTCGAAAGTCAATTTATATAATTACAAAATAATTTATTTTTTTAATTTACGAAAGAGCTTAATTCGGACCGATCTATGAAAATTTAAATTTTCCTTCATGAATATATAATTTATGAGATCTCTAAAAAATAAATGGCAATTTTTGTAAAGAACATTAGGAAACTGACATTTGTAATTTCCTCCACACACAAAGCTCTAACTAATAAATTAATAAAAAATAGGGCAAATTACGCCACCCCTGACGTACGACGAAATTACGAAAAAATTCCTCTTGTTTGGGTAATTACAGTCACCCCTCCTTTTAAATACTTTTACATAAAATTTATGTAATTTGATTATTTACCAAACCAAATCGTATATTCAGTTCGGTAAAATGTATGAAATGTTCCGATTTAACATCCTTAAATTTATCTCTTGAGGATTTTTTTCGTAGATAATATATAGTTAAGGGGTGGTTGTAATTACCGAAATAGATGGGGGTTTTTTGTAATTTAACCATAACTCAGAGGTTGCGGTAATTTTCAAATAATGCATAATTAATAATTAATAATTAATGACAATCTTAAAGAAGGAAAGATAGGTGTGCGAAAAAAGAGAATAAGGGTTTATTGAGTCGGAAAATACATTAGGGTTTATTACATCGAGGGTGAAAAAGATCTCGGATATTCAGCCAGCCTCCATGGACAGAATATCCGATTTGCCACGAGACATCTTGCAGAGAATACTTTATTTCGTGTCCCAAGAAGACGCTGTTCGAACATCTGTCTTGTCCAAATCATGGCGTTACACGTGGCGTATTCGCCCCAATCTTGATTTTTCAGAATCCACCTTCAAAGGAGACAAACGAGAGTTTCTATCCTTTGTGGACAACACTTTGCAACAGTATCGTGATCAAAGGCTGTGCTTGGATGAATTTCACCTTCGTATATCTCTAGACGATTATCTCGAATACGAATCGGCTTCGCTTCTCGAGGAATGGATCCCGATACTGACAACTATGGGTGTGAAGGAGTCTCGTCTCTCTATTTGTACGGTAGATCACAACGATATGCCCTCTGTAGTTTTTCAAGCCGAATCGCTCCAACAATTGCACGTGGAAGGATTCGGTATGGACCGAGACGCTGTTCCGACGATAATACTCTCTAAGCATCTGAAAAAACTTCGTCTCCGAAGAGTCCACATCGAGGGGAAGATATTTCAGGAGATATTATCGAGCTGTCCGTTGATTGAAACTATGCATGTCGAAAAATGTGGGGGGTTACGAAACATCAAGGCGAATAATCTTCGTCGTCTCAAGGACTTCTCCTTTGAAGGACATAATGACTTGGAAGATTGTAGCATCGAAATCTGTCCCGCGTCTCTTGAAACGATCAAGATCAACCGCGGTAAAATTTCTTTTGATAAAGGTGCGGAGTTTCGTAACCTCGTTGATTTAGATCTATGCGTCGTCGAATGGCCGCTGCTCAGCATGTTTTCGTGTGAGTTCCCAAGCCTCAAACGCTTGACTCTTTACGATTGTTATGGACTCAATGAAGAATCGTCGCGTTGGTGTAGATTCCCGAGTCTTGAGTTCTTGAAAATCTTCGATTATTGTGGATTCGAAGAAATCCAGATAGTTATCGATGCACCAAACATACTATATTTTGAATATCGAGGGAACTGTATCCCATCAATCTCGCTCGTAACAAATTCCAGGGACTGGAAGTCAAAAATATACCTATGCGAATGTCCTTTGTCGTTACTCAAGCTAAATGAACTGCTCAAGTCATTAAGCCAGTCGAAAATTTTTCTGATGATAGATAATCCTTACCTAATTCTAGACAACGGTTATAATAAACCCGTTTCGGTGGAGAGCTTGAACTTGGATTGTGGTTGTGATTTATCTTACTTTTCATCTTTTTTGAATGACGTGTTTTGTATTTGCCGTCCAAGAAACATCGGTTACTGCAACAACGACTACGGAGGATCAGTGATGCAATTTGTCGGGTTTATGTGGAGGATTCTAATCGAGAGAGAAAGTGATCAGCTCTCGCAGTTGGTGTTACAAGATTTGGAGGAAGCAAGCATGGAGATTAAGGAATGGTATGAAGAAGAATGGCATCGAGCACCTTTGTCGGAATTTCTTATAAACCACGTACGGTGTGAAGGTCCGAAATGTCAAAGCCGCTTCACACTGAAATGGAGAGAAACTTCGTGAGTCGTCTGTCAATAGTAGAAAAATGGCTTTTTACAACGATTTTTTTTTCTACGATAAAAAGACGTAACAAAAGGTACATTTTACTACGGGACAGTCTAGGAGTCGTAGTAAAAGTTAGGATTTACTGTAGCAAAAAAAAGTATTTGCTACGGCCGTTTACCGTAGCAACGTTTTTGTCACACCCTCGTATGTGCTACGGGGCAAATGTGCAGCAAAACCCTTTTACTACGAATTCGATCGATTTTGGTGAATCTTTTCACACTTTCTATTTTTCTTCTCTCCCTCTCTAAGTTCTCCTGATGGATTATATATATTAAGCAATTACTCCATTATTTTAAATATTTAAATTATATTTTCTCCAAACAAATATGATTTATACGTATATGTGTGTATGGAGTGACAATATTTTCAAAATTTAAATTTGAAGAAGCTTTCGAAAAAATTGTGTAATTTCCCTTGGGGTATGTATGTCATTTCACGACAGGTCAACGGGTAAAATGATTTGGGTGTCGTGTGCAGTCCGAAACATTTAATGTAGGGATCTTTTCCATTATTTATAATATTAAAAAATAGCAATTTGATAGCATAGAGGGGTCTTATTACAATTTACTCGTAAAAAAATCTAAATTTTAGACTTAAATTTGACTGTTGACTGGTAGTTGTTGACGGTCAAACGAGCGAATGACCAAATGTGTTAAAATTGGTAACATTAGAGTGTTAATCATTGAACATAATAAACAGGGGGGCTAATGGAGGGCTGAAAGTGAAAATAGTGTCAACATAATGAAAATGTAATGGAGAAATTATAGTTTTCATCTCTAAGTTTGTATTAATTTCACATTTGGTCTCCACGTTCACAAAAAACACATTTGGTCCATCATGTGTTTCAATAATGTAACATTTTTGGTCATTTTCGTCAATTTACTGTTAGGCCGTTAGTTAAGGCAGCCGTGGAACACGCTTGATTCCGTTAGTTTTAAAATTGACGGAAATGACTAAAAGTGTTGAATTTTTGAAACATAAGGGACCAAATGTGTTTTCTGTGAACATGGGGACCAAATGTGAAATCGGTGCAAACTTGAGGGACAAAACTGTATTTTTCCCAAAATGTAAATGGCATGTGATTTGAACTTATTTGCAATTCCTAGCAAATAACTCGGCAAAGGCTTCATTTTTTTGGCACAAAAAGGGAAAATTACAGGTTTCACCCCTCAAATTTGTACCGATTTCACATTTGGTCTCCCATGTTCACAAAAAACACATTTGGTCCATAATGTTTCAATAATTTAATATTTTTGATAATTTTCGTCAATTTATCATTAGTTCGTCTGTTAAGAAAATGATGGACACATACTTGATTTCGTTAGTACTAACGAAAAATTGACGAAGATGACTAAAAGTATTGAATTTTTGAAACACAAGGGACCAAATATGAAATCAGTGCAAACTTGAGGGATAAAAACCGTATTTTATCTGCACAAAAAGAATAACTAAACTCAACCCTAGACGAAAATAATAATAATAAACCTAGAAAGAAAATAAAGGTCGATTCCTCAACTTCAATATTATATACAAAATTCACTAGGCAATTTAATGGGCCTACAATTTCTTTATTTACTGGATCACGAGTTCAATATTAAAGAGCACTACCACTAAGATCCAATCACCTTCGAATAAGGTTTGGGTCCGACAATCTCAACTAATTAAAATGCAGCGCAATCAATAACGTATACGGTTTTAACTCGTTCATTAATGTACGTTCAATAGTCGAACAATACAACTGCTCGTATTCTCTCTACGACTTTTGCAATCCACACACCTGACTTGAGCGTGAAGGTATTTCAAGGTCGTCAAGCTCGTGAGCCAGTGATCCACTTTGCTCTTCCAACTTATTTTATTTCAACTACATCAGGTAATCTAATTCTAGCATAATCAGCTTCTATTTTTTTTTTTTTTTTGGTAATATTGAAAGCACAAAGAGTAGGTATTTCTCATGGAAATTGTCATAATCGAGGGTTAAATCTTGTACTTACATATAAAGCGATTTTCTTTCCTACTTACATGTAGAAGCGATTTTCCTTCTGGCGGCTTTGGCTTTTTATGCCAACTGAAATTCTTCTTTCCCATAAAAAGAAAAATAATAATAAAAGGAAAAGATAATAAGATTTTGAAAATCGTAATCTCCAAGCTTTATCAGATTTATTTTTGCAATTAAAAGCCAATTTATAATTCCCAAAACAGCTTTTCTTTTTTCTTTTTCTTTATTCTTTATTCCTTATTCGTTCTTCTTTTTTCTTTTATCTTGTTTCTTGTTGCCCTATAAAAGAAGGAAAACACGTCTGTAAGAAAACAAAATCAATTGTAACCCAAATACTATCTTCAAACCCTATAACTATAACTATTTTTAAATCATACTTGAATTTCGTGGGGTTATTATATAGACAGGGTAAAAAGCTTCGAAAATTCAGCCATGGACAGAATATCCGATTTGCCAAAAGACATCTCGCAGAGAATTCTTTATTTCCTGTCCCAAGAAGATGCTGTCCGAACATCTGTCTTGTCCAAATCCTGGCGTGACATCTGGTGCACTCGTCCCAATCTCGATTTTATAGAAGATTCCTTCCACCGAAATAAACAACAATTTCTATCTGCTGTGGACACGACTTTACAACGATATTGCGATCAAAGGTTGTCCTTGGAGAAATTTCACCTCTCTATATCGGTAGGCCGTTATTTGGAACGCGAATCCGTTTCCCTTCTTGAAAAATGGATCCCCCTAACCGCGACGGGCGTAAAGGAGCTCCGTCTTTCTATCCGTTCGGAATACGCTCCTGGATTTATCGAACTCCCCCTTGTAGTTTTTGAAACCGAATCGCTCCAACATTTGCGTGTCGAAAAATTCAGGATGAACCGAGACGCCATCCCAACGATCGTACTCTCTAAGCATCTGAAAAAACTCCATCTCCAAGACGTCTACATCGAGGACAATGTTTTTCAGAAGATAACCTCAAGTTGTCCTTTGATTGAAGCTATGGTTGTCGATTCATGCAGGAGGTTGAAAAACATCCGATCGGATAATCTTCGTCGTCTCAAGAACTTCTTTTTTAAAGGATCTAAATATGATGACGAAAGTTGTAGCATCGAAATCTATCCCCCATCTCTCGAAACCATCGAAATTATTTACGGTAATGTTTCCTTTCACAAAGGTGCGGATTTTCATAATCTCAATTATTTACATCTGTCCGATGTGAAATCCTCGTTGGACCACTTATCTTCGTTTAAATTCCCGAGCCTCGAACGCTTGAATTTTTTGGAATGTGGTGGACTCAAAGAATCCGACATATTTATCGATGCCCCGAACATACTATATTTTAAATACGAAGGAGACTTTATCCCATCCATCTCTTTCGCGACAACTACGACAGAGTGGAAGTCGGATATACAACTAAAAGAAGGTTCTTTGTGGTTCCTCAACCTAAACGAACTGCTCAAATCACTAAGCCAATCGGAAATTTCTCTGATAATCGATCACGCCGACGTAAATCAAGAAAACATTCCGGTACAAGACAACGGTTATAATAATAATAAACCTTTTGCCGTGGAGAGCTTAGGTTTCCATTGTCATTTATCTTCTTTTCCATCTCTTTTAAATGCTGCGTTTTGCATTTGTCGTCCGAGAATCATTGGTTACCACCTCTACGAAGGGGTGATAAAATTCGTCGGGTTTATGTGGAAGATTCTAATGGAGAGAGGGAGTGGAAACGAAGACGAGCTCACGCAGTTGTTGTTTCGAGATTTGGAGGAAGCGAGCTTTGAAGTTAAGGAGAGGGACGAAGAAGAGTGGCGTCGAGCACCTTTGTCGGAATTTCTTCTAAACTATCAAACAAGTTATAAATGCCGTTTTGCGTTGAAGTGGAGATGAACTCCATGAGTCCGAAGCTGCATCGATTAAGAAGTGTTATCGACTTATCGTATTCGTTAAACTTATCATAGTTTTATCTGCTTACTGATTACTTGGTTCTTAAGCTGGTTTCTTTCGATTTTTTCGGTTTTCTTTTGTCGTTTGTTTTGTTTACTAAGGCTCTCGTTCGGTTGGGGAGATTAGTCATTATTAACTAAATAATTGAACTTAATTTGATGTTAAAATTGTGACAATGGATATTGTACTCAAACTAACCATGGAACCGCAAACAGAGAATAAAACAACTGTGGTTATTGAAGTTCCTCAATTGGCTGAACAAATTAATTGAACTTCCTCAATTGGCTGAACAAATTAATCAAGGTTTAAAGGGAAAATTACAGTTTTCATCCCTCAAGTTTGCACCGATTTCACATGTGGTCCCTCGTGTTCAAGAAAAATACATTTAGTCCCTCATGTTTCAATAATTTAATACTTTGTACTTTCCTTCAATTGACCGTTAGTCGGATAGTTAAGGCAGTGATGGGTAGACACTTGGTCCCGTTAGAACTAACGGAAAACTAATGAAAATGACTAAAAGTGTGAATTTTTGAAACATGAAGGACCAAATGTATTTTTTATGAACATGAGGGACCAAAAAGACATTTGATTAATGTAGTAAAATAAAGAGAGAATTGCGTTTTGCACCTCCGAATTGACATTGATTGGCGATTTGCACCATTAAGTTTCAAAATTGGCAAAAAAATGCATTCTACAGCAATTTCTTATGAGATTTTAACCGAAAAATCTACATATGACTGATAATTTAACTTTTGAAGTGATCTTTATTCTTGATGGTATTTTCCATTTTTTTTAATACTTTTAATATTATTTGTTTACTTAAAATTACGCTCCACAAGTTATATTGAGTTGGAAAGACGAAAAAATCCATGTGTATCGCGATTTGTGCGTGCTATGGAATCCATCAAATTTCGGCTGAAAATCAGCCCTAAATGGCAAAATGAGTAAAATAACGGGTTTCAGCCCTTGATGTTTTTTTTTTTTTTTTTTTTTTTTTTTTTTGTTACGGTGGTAAAGTGCACAACGAGTCAATAGACAAGCCGCAAAATGCTATTTACCCTTTTAAATATGTAATAACATTTTGAAAAATGCTTTTCTTTTTGATAAAAATCAACTATTAAAAAGGGGAAATAGTATGAAAAATTTGTGCTTTAAAACTTTTAGAATCAGATTAATATATATTTAGGTTATTATTTTAAAGTCATATCCTTATGAAATCCATCCAACTTCTATAAATTACCGTTTTGTTTCTATAACAAATAGTAATAATGACTTACAGTTTTGATTATACTTTTACTTTTTTAGTATATCAAAAATTTGGAATGTTAAAATAAAGATGAAATTATTAACTTTGTTTTTCTTTTGCATTTAAAGTAATTAAAAAATATAAAGTAAGGATAAAAAAAAAAGATAAATACAAATAAAAACCACTTCGAAAGTTAAAATATCGTGATAAATTATTTGTTGGGTTAAAATTGTACAAGAAATATTATGAGATATATAATATGAGGGGTGAACTTGCCAATTTATAAATATTAGTGTCCAAATCACAAACGAATGTCAATTATAGGGGCCAAAAAACAATTCCTCTAAAAATAAAGAAAAAAACCCTTATTAAGAATCGTGTGTGGCTCGCTGACCGGGTGGTATCGTTACCCGGCTCTTTACCTTTCATATCACAAAAAACCTAATCGGAAAAAAAAGCCTAATTCCCCCAACTCGGTTCTAACCCCAAATCTCGAATCGTGAGTTTCTGCCGTATCGGAATTCAGTAAGTTTACTTCAAACCGCTTTCTCCATTTCGCTAATTGATGATGTATGCGTTCAATTTTTCTCCTCTTGTAGTAAAAAGCTGTTTCGAGAACACCTGCAAAATTTCACAATTCGATTTGCTTTTTTGCCCCTTTTCGTAAATTGTGTGTGTAGTTTGTGTCAGAACTCAAAAAAGCTATGCGAACGAACGAACCCATTTGCCCCTTGTTGCTAATTCGTCTGTTCCTTTTTTTTTTTTTTGATTTATAAATTTGGAGAATTTAATGATTTTTTGTTTAGTTTAAGGTAGTTTAAGGAAATGGGTTCTAACATGGAGCCAGTAGCAGTGACTTCACAGAAGCACGATCCGGCATGGAAGCATTGCCAAATGTTCAAAAGTGGCGACAGGGTTCAGCTCAAGTGTGTGTACTGCGGGAAGATTTTCAAGGGCGGAGGTATTCATCGCATTAAGGAACACATCGCCGGCCAGAAAGGCAACGCCGCCGCTTGTTTGAGGGTTCAGCCCGACGTCCGGCAGCAGATGCTGGAGAGCCTAAACGGCGTTGCCGTTAAGAAGAGGAAGAAGCAGAAACTCGCCGAGGATATCACGGGTTTCGATAGCCACTGCGGCTTGAGTTCCGATATCGTCTTGCTTCCGGTCCCGGAATCCGTCGAACACGACGAGGACGTGTATGCGAATCGGGATGACGATTCGAGCAGCAAAGCGTTTGCGGGTGGCGGTAGGCAGAAAAAGGGTAGAGTGAGAAAAGCCCCGAATAATATGGTTAATTCTAGTAGCAATGCAGCTTTGGCCGTTGTTCCGTCTACGAATTCCAAGAAAGTTAGTAATACGGTTAACATGGCGGTCGGTCGATTTCTTTCGGATGTTGGATTGGCCGCGGATTCTGTCGACTCTCCTTATTTTCAACCAATGATCGATGCGATTGCTTCTCAGGGTGTAGGAGTTGTGGGGCCCACTTATCACGATCTCAGGAACTCGATCCTAAAGAATCTATTTCACGAAGTGAGATACGATGTCGATCAGTACACGGTGTCTTGGGAGCAGACCGGCTGCTCGATTTTGGTGGACGAATGGACTTCGAGGAAGGGTAATAAAACGTTCGTCAACTTTTTCGTGTATTGTCCGCAAGGTACGATCTTTTTCAGGTCGGCCGATATATCGCATTCAAATTCGATAGATTCTGCTGATGCCATTTACGAGTTGATAAAGGAAACCGTGGAGCAAGTTGGTCTGAGATTCGTCGTGCAAGTTGTGACGAGCGGTGAGGATCGGTATGTTGTCGCTGGGAAAAGACTTGCCGACACTTACCCTACTGTTTTCTGGACTCCGTGCGCGGGGCGGTGCATCGATTCGATGCTCGAGGATATAGGTGTACTCCCCGCAGTGAAGGCGGTGCTCGAGCGGGCGAAATCTATCTCGAGATATATCTACTCGAGCGCCGATGTACTGAATATGACGAGACGGTACACGTCCGGCGTGGATTTAGTCGATCTGGGATTTACTCGCTCGTCTACCGATTTTACGACGCTGAAAAGGATTTCGAACATCAGACATAATCTGCAGTCCATGGTTACTTCCGAGGAGTGGGTGGAAAGCCCTTGTTCGAAGACACCACAAGGGTTTCAATTCTTGGACTCACTGAGTGACGAGTCGTTCTGGTCCGAATGCGACTCGGTCACTCGGCTGACTGATCCGCTCTTGCGGGTTTTGAGGATAGTTGGTAGCAAAAAAAACCCGGCTATGGGGTTTGTTTACGCGGGGCTGTATCGAGCCAAAGAAGCGATTAAGAAGGAGCTTGTTTCGAAGGCGGAATACTCCGTGTATTGGAATATTATAGATGCTAGGTGGGAACAACTTCGACGGCACCCTCTTCACGCTGCGGGTTTTTATTTGAACCCGAAATTCTTTTACAGCCTCGAAGGAGACGCGCATCTTCAAATTCGGTCGCTAGTATATGATTGCATAGAGAAACTGATTCCCGACCCTAATGTACAAGACAAGATTATCAAGGAAACCGCCTCTTACCATGGCGGTGTTGGAGACTTTGGCCGCAAGATGGCTATCAGAGCCCGAGACACTTTACTACCCAGTGAGTCGACTCGACTCGATTCGACTCGAGTCTCCTTCTGATATGAGATGAATTGTTTTCCATTAATTTGTAACTGGATTTGTTTTTTTGAATGCTTATAATGTGTGTGACTTATTCATCTTTATTTTCACTATCGCAGCTGAGTGGTGGCTACAATACGGAGGGGGGTGCCCTAATTTGGCTCGATTGGCGATCCGAATTCTCAGTCAAACGTGCGGCTTGATCCAGCACAAGCTAGATAAAGCACACGTCGAGCGCATGCACGAGAGGAAAAATTGCCTGGAGCATCAGAGGCTCAGCGACCTCGTTTTTGTTCACTACAATATGTCCATGAAGCAAATGTAAGTCGAAGAAGACTCCCCCGATATTCAATGTTTTTTTTTTCAAGTGTTCGAATTTTTTAATACCGTAAAAATACTGAGTTGGTGATTTTCTTCCTAATTTATTTATTTTGATAGGGTTTCGAGAAACAAAGCCGTCGATCCGATTTCTTACGAGTACATTGATATTGTTCAAGACTGGGTGATGGAGAAAGAATCGTGCGTGGAAAACTCTTCGAGCGCAGAATGGATGGCTGTCGATCCACCTTTCGGTAACCATATGATTTTAGTCCCACAAACTGACGACTTTGAAGCCCTCGGTGCAGGTAATTGCAGCTGTATGTATATATGTATGTATATATCATGTATGTATGTATGTATGTCCAAGTATGTATGAGATGAATTTTTGGTTAGAAAAATATTTTCGATGGTGCAGGATTTGATGATTATGAAATTTTCGACGGGGTGAAAGATAGTGAAGAAGAAAATGTAGAGGATAAGGTAGAGCCGACGAGTTGATTTTCGAAAAACACCGGCGATTTCGATTGATTTGAGGGCAACGTACGCGATAAGACGAGCAAGTTTATTTACTCTTGCTGTAAATCTTGTGGTGTGGGCAAGTTGTAATTCTATATCAAAGTTAGTTGTTCTGCTCTGCTTGTAAATTGTCATGTACTTATATTTCTCTTTGTAACAGTGAGAATTTACTCTTTTACTCTTTCTGATAAGTTATTTGACATTTTAGGAGTTTTAATTGATGTAAATGTTTATGTATTTTTAATGGAATAATTACAGTTTTCATCACTCAAATTTGCACCGATTTCACACTTGGTCCCCTATATTCACAAAAAACACATTTGGTTCCTCATATTTCAATAATTTAACGCTTTTAGTCATTTCCGTCAATTTACCGTTAATCTGTTAACTCATTGATGGGCATACTTCCATCAGTTTTAACGAAAAGTCGACTGAAAGAACTAAGGGTGCATTTGGATGGAGGGATTTGGGGGAGGGATTTCAAATCCATAATAACAAATCCCTCGGACTTGTTTGGATTGAGGGATTTGGAGATGGATTTGAAATCCCCACCCCTCATTTTTAGTTGATTTTGGAGCAATAGTGATGGATTTCAAATGACTCCAAAATTGGAGTCATTTCAAATCCATTCCCCAAATCAAATCCCCCCCAAATCCCTCCATCCAAATGGACCCTGAAAGTGTTGAATGTTTGAAACGTGAGGGACCAAATATGTTTCTTGGGAACACAATGGACAAATGTGAAATCGGTGCTAATGTGAAGGACTATAAATATATGTTTCCCTATCTTTAATTTAATATTTAGTTTTCTTTATGGATTTTTTGTGTATTTCTCGAACGAGCTTTTCAAGAGAGTGATTTGTGCTTACAAATTTGATTAGTTAATAGGGCAAATGGTAAATTACAACTACACCCCTCAGGTATGCTAAAATGAATTTAAAGTCTCTATGGTATTGGTACTTCCAATTGTAAGATTTATAAGATGGAAGAAAAAGCTGTTTGGTTATGCACACCAAAACAGTAGATGTATATTACTATTATATAGAGGAAGAATACAATAGAGTCACTTATAGATAGACTCCAACCCTATACGGCTTATCTAAACTATACATTTGAAAGTTTGAATGAAAAACTAATTATGCTAACAAAAAGGAATATCTGTTATACATTGCTACAAATCAGCAATTTGTTTTATGGCATCCGTGATTTACTCCTAACATCCCCCCGCAAACTGATGGGAAGAAGACAGACCAGAAGTTTGGAACGAAGATAAGCAAAACGAGCTGGCGTATGACCTTTTGTAAATATATCAGCCACTTGATCTTTTGTGGAGATATATTTTACAGCAATATCACGATTCACAACCTTCTCTCGAACAAAGTGGTAGTCAATTTCAATGTGTTTTGTACGAGCATGGAACACTGGATTCGTAGCTAAAGCAAGGGCACTTATATTGTCACACCATAACACTGGTTGCGACGGTAATACAACTTCCAACTCTCGAAATAACATTCTCAGCCAATAAAGTTCAGCAGTAGCGATTGCCATAGAGCGATACTCTGCCTCCGTACTTGACCGGGATACTACATTTTGTTTCTTGGCGGACCAAGAAATCAAGTTAGTGCCTAAGAAAACCCCATAACCACTTGTTGATTTTCTATCATCCGGATTACCTGCCCAATCTGAATCACAAAATGTATTAAGAGATATAGAGGACGGAGTGTAATACAAGCCAAAATCAATAGTTCCCTTAAGATATCGTAGCACACGTTTGACTGCTGTCCAATGGGTCGAGCAAGGATTATGCATAAATTGACACAATTGATTAACAGTATAGGCAATGTCAGGACGTGTCAATGTGCAATATTGGAGGCTACCAACTATTTGACGATACTCAGTTGGATCTTTTAGAGAGTCACTACCATAAGCAGATAGCTTGGTAGCACTTGCTGGAGAATTAAGTGGCTTAGCTCCTGTCATTTTTGCACGATCAAGCAAATCAGAAATATACTTGGTTTGCCGTAAGTGAAGACCGGTAGAGTCCCGAGATGCTTGAATGCCCAAGAAATAGTTCAAAGGTCCGAGATCCTTCATGCTGAAACTATCCTTCAATTTGTCAATAACAGAAAATATACCATGCTCATTTGATCCAGTTATTATGATATCATCGACATAAATAAGTATAAATACTGTCACAGTAGCCGAGTGAAAGGTAAAAAGAGAGTGATCTAAAGACGATCCTTGAAAACCGAACTCCATTAGTTGTTGGCTGAGACGTAAAAACCATTGACGTGGTGCCTGTTTGAGACCATAAAGAGACTTATGCAATTTGCAAACGTAACTTGGATGATCGGGGTCGATAAATCCTTTTGGTTGGACCATATAAACCTCCTCTTCAAGAACTCCATGCAAGAAGGCGTTAGATACATCCAATTGGCGAATTGGCCAATTAAAAGAGACGGCCAGAGCAATCACCAAACGAACAGTAGCAGGTTTAATGGTAGGACTGAAAGTTTCATGAAAATCAATTCCATTAATTTGATCAAATCCCTTAGCAACTAACCTTGCTTTGAATCTGTCAATACTCCCATCAGGTTTTCGTTTAATTTTATAAACCCACTTGTTACGCACAATATGATGATCAAAAGGTTTTGGGCAGAGAGACCAAGTACCATTTTTCATCAAAGCGTCGAACTCCGCACCCATAGCAGCCCGCCACTCCGGAGAAGATGCTGCTTGACTATAAGAAGATGGCTCGGTTTCAGAAGTTGTAAGAACACTGCTCAATACACGTAGTGGATGTCTAGTTGAATAAAGGGCTTTAAAATTTGGAAAAGACTTTGGTTTGGAATTTCCCGTCTGTGACCGAGTAACTCGACGAGAATTGTTGGGTTCAGAGATGGACTCAGTAGGTAGTTCTATAGCCAAAGTCGGAGTAGGAATTGACAAAGGGAATGAATGATCAAGTTGGGTGTCTGGGGAAGGTACATGAAAATTATGTGAAATTGCATGAGAAAATGGCTCGGGTGTGGATGACTCGGGTAGTGAATTGTTGGGAGTATTTACTGTATCGAATCTGAGGTTACAAGGAGGTTGTTCTGAACGATCTTTTTGGTTGGTGGTGACGATATTTTGTGAAGTTTGACTTGGATTAGGAGAGATATTAGCAGTAACTGTAGGATCATGAAAATCTGCAAGACAATAATCGTTACTCATACTAACAGTTTGATCTTTTGTGAGAAACTTACGAGAGAGAGTTTTGTTCGGCACAGGAATAGGAGAATGATTAATCTGACTTGCTGGAAAAGACTCTTCATTGAAAACAACGTGCCGTGAGATGTATACTCTCCCTGTAGAAAAATCTAAGCATCTATAACCTCGTTGATTATTGGAATATCCTAAGAAAATGCATTTCTTGCTCCGAAAAGATAGTTTGTGTGGCTGATATGGGCGTAGTAAAGGAAAACATTCACACCCAAAGGTTTTTAGTTCCATGTAATTTGGGTGTCGATGGAATAACTTAAAGTATGGTGTATCATTTTCCAAAACTTTAGTTGGCAACCTATTGATTAAAAAAATAGATGTTTGAAAAGCATCAACCCAATATTTTTGCGATAAACCCGAACCAGCCAATAAAGTAAGCCCAATCTCTTGAATATGACGATGTTTTCTCTCGGCTACACCATTTTGTTGTGAAGTATATGGACAAGTTAATCGATGGTGTATCCCAGATTTTGTAAATAAATCTTTAAATGAAGCTGAGAGAAACTCACCACCATTGTCAGATTGAAATTGTTTGATAGACATGGAAAAAAGATTTTCAACAAGTACTTTAAACTTCACGAATGTAGAGAAAACATCCGACTTGTGATATAAAGGATACAACCAGGAAAAACGAGAGAAGTCATCAATGAACAAAACATAAAATTTACAGCCACTGATTGAATTAATTGGTGCAACCCAAACATCGGAGTGTATTAATTCTAGAGGTTTTGTTGATTGACGAACTGAAGAATAAAACGGTAATTTTGTTGCTTTGCCTAGTTGACAAGAAGGACAAAAGTCCACTTTATTTTTGGAACTTAAAATTGGAAGACTGTGTAAATTAACTAAACTCTTAAGAACAGATGAAGATGGATGCCCTAATCTAGAATGCCAACGAGTTAAAGATGCTTTGATTCCTACAGTAGATGTATGACACTGCAGTTTTCTTGAAGAAGTCTTATTGAAAGCAAAGGGATATAAGCCATTCTCAACCATTCCGTGGAACAGAATCTTGCCCGTGCGATTCTCCTTCACAAAAAAATCATCACCAGTTAGTAAAAAATAACAATCATTATCTAAACAAAACTTATTTATGGAAATTAAGTTTGAAGATGCTGAAGGACAGTGTAAAACATTGGCAAGATTAAACTGGGATTTGCCAATTTTTATGGAAGTAGAGGCAGTATTCTTAATATGCAAACCTGAGCCATTTCCTATAGTAACAGATTCATCTCCGTGGTAGGGCTGTTGGTGGGAGAAGTTCTCAACATTTGACGTGATATGGGCATTGGCTGCACTATCCGCAAACCAAACTTGATTGTCATATTGAGCGTTCCTTTCAGCAACCATGGCAGCAAGTTGAGATGGAGGATGGCGTCCCTGATAAGAATAATCAAACCTGTGGTAACAGTCGATAGCCTTGTGGCTTGTTTTATCACAAATCTGACATTTTTCTTTGGAAATGGGAGTAGAAACATCACCCGATTTTTGTGTTGGGGTCGGTAAACGTGGCAAACGACTGTTAGAAGTGGCATGGAGTGATCTTCTTTGCTGCCCAAAATTGTTACCTTTAGTCGGAGGTGAAAATTGCTTTAATTTTGGCATTGAACTCCTCCCTTTGGCAGCAACCATAGCAAAGTGTGTATCGTTGAGAGAAGAAGGATGTTGAGCGTCAAGCATTGATTCGCAACCAAGTAACTCAGCCACAAGATCTTCCAAGGTGAATTCCTTATCTCTCGACGCCAAATTGAATGACGTGACAAAGGAGTTGTAAGAAGGATTGAGACCGGCAAGAATATATGAGATAAGGTCTTGTTCATCAATTTGCTTGTCTGCAGCAGCTAGTTGATCGGCAATGGATTTGACAGTGTCGATAAATTCATTGCATGAACGGGACCCTTGAGAAATAGTTTGCAAAGATGAGCCAATCGAGAACGAGACTGTGCCGAATACCGAGAGGCAAGGGCAGTCCAAACTTGCTTGGAGGTATTATGACCATAAAC